AGAACACCATGGTTGTAACTCTGTTTATATAGGGAGGACGTGATCCTAGTGCCCATCGCTTGTGAAAGGCGGATGGAAGCAGGTGAAAAGGCGGATGACTTCAAGCTTGTGTTCGTTTCGCGTTTTCCTTTAAGGAAACTTCTTTCCTGTGGGAGGCTATCTTACAAGGCGTCCATGATTGATGGAGGACGCTGGTATAGTTCCAATATGTAGCTTCCGAGCATGAGAATTCTGACGACAGATGGCTGCCGCTCGCGACGATTCCGCGCTTCGACAGGCAGCAGGTCATGAAAGATCTAAATACTATGTCGAAAAACCAGTACTTGCAATGATTCGTAACACATAAGTACCAATATAGGTGGATTTCGAAAGGTGCTAAACAAGGGGAAAATTTTATGTCAATCCCAGTGTCTAGCACGGCCAGTGTTGCGAGTAATATGCGCTGCTGAGAAGTGGCAACGCTGTTCTCCATAAGTGCTGTACTGCAATCAAATGCTTAGACGCACTATAGTTTAGGCGCTAGTGTAGTTCACAGACGGGCGTTTTACCATGTTTTTCTTTCGAAAATCCCTGGTTTTTTTTCGCGCAGCATTACATGACTTTCTCTACTTTACGTATATTGCTCTGTATATCCTTATACGAATGTTGCCTTTTGGGTTTCGGGATTTGGCAACCCTGGTGTTGCAAACTGATAGCTTTATCGTAAATTTGGATGTTTTGAGGTTATATTTACTCAACGTTTTGACATACGAGCGCTATTTGTGTTGTTTACAGTAACTTAAAAGATTCATCTTGGCCCAAAAATGGAATTAAATCGTGAACATTTTCGTGCGAATTTTTTTTACAACTTTCGACGTCGATTAACTCAGCAACAGTGCATAGATGAACTTAATTCTTTTCTTTAATATTGAAGCTAGAGTTTTATTTGTCAATGTGCAGTGTTCATCAGTGTTGAATCTTCAAATTATTTTATGTAGCCTTTAAAAAATTGTAGTAGTGTTAAGTTTTTGCATAATAGTGACCTTCAATATTTACCCGAATGTAAGGCGAGATTTTTTTTCCTTATTATCTCTGTCGAAAAATGCGGGGTCGTCTTTCGAATAGTTTTTACATTGCCATTCCATGCCACGAAACTCATAAATGTTGGCGTAACAATAAACTGCGAAGACGGTAAAAATATGGCGCTTTTATATTCGTGGCCGTATTTCCGGCATCCCCTGCGAATTTGTCGGGCAATTCAGACCGATATTTTTGAATGGGCTGGTAAAGAGAGAATTTTAAACGAATGACATAGTATCAAATGAAACGTAACGTGATAATGAATGCCGAGAAAAGTTACACGACTGGACGCGGCGAGTGTGAATCTGTGTTTTGACTTAAAAGACACGCACTTTCAGATAGGAGAGAATGATCTTTGGTGGCTTCTGATGAAAAACAAAGAACAATGCAAATTAAATGTGCAAAACTTTCAGAAGGGCCTAAAAAGTCAGAAGTCACAGCACGGAAGGAGGGCCAAAAAGAAAGAAATATTAATACATGTGAAAATGTAGTACGATTAGTAACGGAAGAACAGCTCTCGTTGCGGACGATACCCATATTCTTTACAATAAGGAAAACGTAAATAGTACAATATCAGATATTTCAAATTGGTTTCGTAATAACAAATTAATAGTAAATGAAAAGAAAACTGTTGCAATGTAGTTCTCCATTTCAAATAAACAGTTCGACACTTCACTGAAATTGAACAGCGTGCTATTGACTGATGTTAAGGTAACAGCATTTTTAGGTCTTTCAATTCAGTCAAACCTTAATTGGAACATCCATTTAAATGAATTGAACTTTTGGAACCATTGAATGAATTAAGTTCTTTATGCTATGCTTTCAGAATTCTTTCAAATTTAGTCAGCCTTCACACTGCTCGTTGTGTATATTTCGCGAATGTTCATTCCCGCCTGAGATATGGCATAATATTCTGGGGGAATACATCTTATAGCTCCCAGACTTTTAGATAACAAAAACGAATTGTACTAATAAATAAGCAAATCCCACCCACGTGATTCTTGTAAGCCACTCTTTATAAATCTAGGTATTTTACCATTACCATTTACATGAATCGGTGGTTTTTATCAAAAATGACTTACTTAAGGGCGGGAATATATTTTCAGCAAACGTTGTTGTCTATAACTACAACACTCGACGTAGTAATCACATTCATTGGGTAACATCACCAACAGCTCACTACAAAAAATTCACACATAATACATGTACATTATTTTACAACACCTTGCCAGATGACATTAAACGATTAAATTCCCCGATTACAAAAATTTAAGTCCAAGTAAAATATTTTTCTGCTGCTCAACTGTTTCTATACAATTAGAGACTATACTGAGTATCCAAAAGGAAAGTATTATTTGTTTTAAATGACATTTATTGTATTTATATTCATTTGGATTGTATAATTGTAAAGAATCTGTACAAGTATTGTACAGCCTTCTGCGGTCCAATGACCCCCATCTCGATCAGGTTTTTGTCCAGTTTCCCTGATCCTCGAGCAAATGCTGAGAAGGGCCCTTGTTTTGCTTCTGGACATAAATGTAACTTCAAATTAACTTCTCCCCATAGCACGTGATACACAGTTTTTAACTGTTTTTGACAGAAAGAAAGAAAGAAAATGTTGAGGATATTGACCAAAAACATGCTTGTGATTTTAAGGAACAAGAAATGATACATTAGCAATAAGCACATTATCATTTTCAAATTTGCTAATCAATAAGACAATTATTTATCACATAAATACGTCATATGCCATGTATGACAAGTCAAGTTATGTATATAATCATACAATGCACAGTACAGGTGTTTCTAAAAATTGAATGCAAAACAAATAAAAATTCAATTCATATCTCGTACTAAATACAATATAATGGAATGCTAATTAATTTTATGGATGGTCTTGTAAGAAGGCTAAAATTAAAAAACAATAATAATAATAATAATAATAATAATAATAATAATAATAATAATAATAATAAAGAAAGAGAGGGAAAATAAGTCTTCATAGATTCGTGTCTGGGCTTGGTCCATCCTTTATATCCAACCACCATTTTAGGGGGATTTCAAAACATGCAACAAAAAATGCAAAAATGATTAGTATTAGTTTATATTGATGTAGATATGTGTTTATGATGTAGATATTCTTTTGCACTGTAGAATGTATGGTTTAACAGGTAAACTTTCAGTTTATTTGTGAATGTGTGCATCAAGTTCAAGCTTTTAAATTTGCTAGGGTGTTTGTTACATAGTGTAATGTCTTCTATAAGGGTACTTTATTGAAAGAGTGAGTTTCACTGTGTGGGACTTGCAGATATCTTTTTTGTCTAGTAACATAGTTATGAACTTCTGTGTTTAGAGTAACAGAATCCTTGTTTCCTGTAAGTGTCTTCTTTGTGAAGATAAATATTTCAAATATTTACATGCATGTTAGTATTTGTAGTTTTTTGAACAGTAGTTTGCAGGACTGGCATGTTAGTGAGCGTTTGACCTTGTTCCCAATATTCGTTTTTTGATGATGAATACTTTCTGAAAGATTTCCCCAGAATATAAAGCTGTATTTTAGGTGTGAGTAAACATTTCCAAAGTACAACATTCATAGTGTATCTAAATTAGAATTTGACTGAAGGATGTATATGGCATAACATGACTAGGTTAGCTAGTTGTTTAGATCTGTGATATGGGAGTTCCAATTTAGATCTTCTTGAATAGTCAATCCAAGGAAAGTTGTTTTTTGGGTTATTTTACAGGCATGTATTTCATCATCAATTGTGCTGGAGGCTTTTCTTTAGAGAGTGGATTCCGAAAGGTTAGGGAGACAGTTTTACTGGTGTTTGTGATGAGTTTACTTTCCTGGAACTATTTTACTAGTAGGACTGTTAGTGCTTCTTTTTGTAGAGTTTGTTGCATATTTGCTTTAATAATAATGTTTGTGTCATCTGCAAATAGGACCTTCTTGCTCTATTGTTATATTCGTGTATTGTGATTGCTTCATTACAATAATCAAAATTCATTACAGCTTTTTAAATAGAACATTTCTCACAAGATTAATTTATGTTGGAAAATATGTCTTGACACATGTTCCTGAGTGCTAAAGTTCCAATGCCATTTTGGACTTTTTCTTTTTTTATTCTTTCAATATTTTGTAAACCACTTAATCCAATGGAATGAAACTATAGCACCATTAGTGTTTAGGCTATTTATTTCATAAGGTTAATGGAAAGCAATAGATGTCATTAAAGACATAATATTTTCCTAAATGTAATGATTCCTCCTAAATAGAAAATGTGAGATGAGATTTTTTTTTCTCGATTTGAAAATTATCGAAAATTTGTTGCCTAATATGGCAAAGAATTAACCTTTGCTAATTAAATGAGTAGATATGTAATTTTGTTGCATATTATCAGGTACCTAAATATTCTATCAACTCGTCATCATCCGCAGTAGACAATAGCAAACTACTCCTGTCAGTGCTAAGTTGCCAATCCTCCATTGCTTCTGAGTCATTTTCTACTTACTAGAATCTGAATGCAGATTGTAAACATTGTGCGAGCCTGGCATAACAAGTCATTTTTCTATTTCAAATAGCAATTATTAACTTTGTTGTAATTTTTATTGCAATGAAGTTGAATTGTAGGGCATGTTTAAAATATGTAATATTGGAAAAGATTTTGAAACCATAATAGATTATAGTCTTAAACTGCCAATTGGTATTGTGAAAATTTCAACTGACGTAATATGTTCTTCTTCCATTATTTAATTGATGTACATGAATAAAAATTAAGTATAAAATCAAATTGCTTCTTACATTGGACCAATCTTGGATGTTAGTGTGCTTAGGATTTATTTTCTTCAGTTGTAATGTGGAAACAGGGAATGTATACCCTAAGATCGTTTCCTTATGTTTTCTATTCAAAGAGTATGTTACAGTTTTAATTGCTTTACAGATGCTGTATCGTATGGGCATCACAATGCGACCTTCAAAACTTCCAGATGATACGCGCAAATGTATGTTCTGTCATCAAGTTGGTGATGGGGTTGCTGATGGACCTGCAAGGTATTGATTTTGTATTGTATTGATGTTGTGATACAGCTAATGATTCTAGGAGGCTGAAGGCCATTCTCCAGTTTCCTGTAGATTAGTAGTTCCAAGAGCCTAGGTTTGGCAGCTTACAACCTAGAATAAACATATCTTTCCTGACAAAAGAGTTAGAAATTTCCTCTACCAACTTTATTGAAAGGTGTTGAATTGTGTTCAATATTTATGGAAATCTTCCACTCATTGGTCTATTTTGACAGTCTACTGCAATTTTCTGCAAAATAGTGTTTCCTTTATATTTCCTTACTTCGAAGGCAATCATTTTATTTGAACTCCCGTAAGAATAGAAATATTTTTACTAAAATATATATGAATCGTCTCCTATATTATTTCAGTAGTATACATATCTTTTGTGGCTCTCACATGCAATCGATCATTATAAATGAAGTCTATAAAGAAAGATAATTTCATGGAGATGTGACACATTGCACTTTGACTTCAAAAATATGAAGTATTGTTTTAAAAAACACATCTAAATATTAATGGAAAATGCAACCTGCAGCACTCAGCAAGATATATTGTTAAACTCTTAAACAAAGCATTCTAGGGTCTTAAAAACTAAACTTTTGAGCATAAAGGCCTCAAAGATACATTTTCCACACCATAATCTACAAGATGATATATTCTTCGACATTTTATTAAATTTTTGTTCGTTCGGCACTTATCGATATTACCAATGCCTCCTAGATTTCACCCCTTGGTGATGGGGGCATCTTTGTGATGTCACACTTATTGGACTTACATTCCTCTATCTTATACTATTTATACTTTCTGCGTACACCGTGGTTTGCACAGACTGACAAGTTTTATTTGCATAATTATTAATACAAGATTTGCTCTCGCACCACCAACTAGAAGTACTATTAATAGGTTGATACCGATGGATATTATTTCTTATGGGTATAGTGAAAACATTTATTTAACCTTTTGCCAAGCTCTACAAGGGCTGTGTACCTTATTGTGGAGGAATGAGAGTGTAAAGAGTGTTAGGATTATCATGCAAGAGTTCTCGCACGGGTTACGAGGTAGTAGGGGAACACTTGTGCTATGGCACAACACAAAGAACAAACTTTTTAAATTAAATAAAAAACATAGCTTGAACAACAAAAATCAAAATGCACTAGCCTACAATCAAATTTAAAATTATAGAAAAAATAGTCATTTGACATCTGCCAATGATCGCAATCCAGACGCACAATTTAAATGTTGGCGATGTCTGAATGTCTGAACATGCACAGTTGTAAACTCATATATTGTAAGTAATACATCGTTTGATATTAAACTTAAGGTGTCGGTTCGCTAAGATATTCAATATAAACATCGTTTGAGCGACGTTCCCATGTGCCAAAATGAAGTCTATGTCTACTGAATTGTTTTTAATGGTAACAAATGGTACTTATCTCGCAAAAGTGAAAATATTAGTTTTATTATTTTTTGGCTCGGAATTGCTGGCACCTTGCCTCTCCAAATCCCCTTTATTCCTCATAACAAATCCAGGGAAGGGTTGTACTTACCCGAAATTGTATTTTCATATGGAAAACATTGCTTGGCTTTCTCAAGAGTAAAAACATTTTCTAATATTTTTGTGACTGTCAAGGAATATTGAATAATTACTTCAAATATTGTTTTTAAGAAAGTGTGAATTGTTTGAAGAACATGTCTATATAATACTGAATAAATTTTTATTGAAAGTTGTTTCCAAAGTCAATTGCATTGTTTTTATTTTTGTTTGATACTCTGCAAGTACAAAGTTACATTGATACATTTTTGAAACAAATAATATGTTTCATTAACAACTTTCCTTCATAATGGAAAGGGTGGGGATTAACATGCAAGAGTTCTCAAGCGGGTGCGCTAGAAGAAGAATATTTACCTATCTAAATTGTGTCAGATTGTTTACAGGACTGTCTCGGATTCAATTTAAAAATGCTTCTGATACATTTCTTTTGAAGAACCATTAATCTATCCATATTTTGTGTTGTACCTCCCTATATTTCAATACAATATTCAAGTTATGAGGAGATTGTGCCATTATAGATTGAAAGATCTGTTTCCAGATATGTGGAAACAAATGTTAAGAGAACTTATTTTATTTCAAACTATTAACGTGTTTGTTATAAGTTAGCTTCCTTCCTAAATCTTATGACAATCAGTTTGTTTCACTGTTTCCACTTATTGTTTTGGTGTTAGTAACCACGATGAAACTTGAAATTTATTAATACAGTTTTATCAGCATTTAATTTAAATTATTTATCAACAAATAACTTTTAATTGATTTTAAAGAGTCATTCAGATGAATTTCTAGATGACCAAAATTTTGCTCTCTGCTTATTAATGTTGTATCATCTGCATAAGAAATTACAAAGGAATTGGAGGTGATTGGAATATCGTTAACGTATGTTATAAGTAGCAAGCCCAAATCCAAATGTTATTAGGATGCACTAATTACTGTAAATTTTATCCCCATCATCGTGGACACACAATGGTTAAATTTTGAAACCATTTCTATTGGAGGATTGATTTGTTGCTTTCTAAATTGGAATAAGAAGGTATTGATACTTAATGCAGAATCAAATATTTTGCTTTTTCCTATGTTCAATTGGAATTCTAAGTATCTTATGTGCGCTGTTGTCATTGGAAGTAACATTGACCCAGGTAGTGGTTGCCTCAACTCAGCACAGTTTTAGGAGTCATATTGTATAAATAATCAAAATCTTGTTTCATTATATCTTTGTTCCATCTTTTAACTATGACTATTTTTCAGATTATTGAATTTTGATGTTGATAAGTGGGTTCACCTAAATTGTGCCTTATGGTCTGACGAAGTCTATGAAACAGTCAATGGTGCATTGATGAATTTGGAGAATGCCCTGCAATTAAGTTTAGTTTTAAACTGCGTAGTTTGTCATCGTGTAGGTGCTACACTTAGATGTTTTAAACATCGCTGTTCTAATGTTTATCACCTTGCATGTGCTGTTAAAGATGGCTGTGTTTTCTACAAGAATAAGGTACTTTATTTGAACATTTGTTTGGAATTGATTGTACAAGACATCTCTTAAAATAACGTAATAATTTGGTTTGTTTTTTTACATATTTTCAGTCAATATACTGTGCTGCACATGTTCCCAAATCAGAGAAAGACAATGAGTTAACTACATTGTCAGTATTTCGGAGAGTTTATGTAAATAGAGATGAAAATCGCCAGGTGGCCACAGTAATGCACCACACAGACCAAAATAATTTGATGCGTGTAGGTAGCCTGATATTTTTGAATGTCGGACATTTATTACCTCATCAACTTCAAGCATTTCATACTCCTCAGTATATTTACCCAATTGGCTACAAAATTGTAAGTTGAAGCTATAAATTTTTAAAGAACTGATATTTTATATAAAATAAGCCCATCATGATATATATTTATCTGTACAGGTACGTTTTTACTGGAGCATGCGTGTTCCTAACAAAAGGTGCAGATATGTTTGCTCCATTCATGACGTAAGAGGTCGTCCAGAGTTTCGAGTATTAGTTCAGGAACCCTCTCAAGATGACTTGGAATTGCGAGACATAACTCCTCGTGCTGTGTGGACACGTATTCTTGAGCCTTTGGCAGCTTTACGGAAGGAATTTGGTGGTGTTCAAGTTTTCCCACGTTATTTATCTGGTGAAGATTTATTTGGACTTACAGAACCAGCTGTTGTTAGGGTTTTAGAAAGTTTACCAGGTAATAACACATGTTTGTGAATACCTTTAATTATAGTTTCACTGCCTTAACTTTCATACTTAAATGTGGCAGCAGAAATGAAATCATTTCAGGTTTGCAAAGTTAATTTATAATTCATTCATTTTTGTGTTAATTCTTGAAAAATATAAAAATACACATTTATTATATCATATTATTAGTATTAGTATTATTATTATTATTACTACTACTACTACTACTACTACTACTACTACTACTACTCTACTACTACTACTACTACTACTACTACTACTACTACTACTACTACTACTACTACTATTGCTTGTTTTCTAATATTTTGTGTATGTTTAAAAAAGTATTTCAGGCAGGAATGTGTTTTTATGAATTACATTATTTGTTTTTGAATAGGTGTGGAAACTTTGACAGACTATCGTTTCAAGTATGGTCGTAACCCACTACTGGAACTTCCTCTTGCTGTTAATCCCACTGGGTGTGCTCGGACTGAACCAAAATTACGAAACCAGTTATCATGGAAAAGGGCTCATACGCAGAGGACTGGTTCTTCATCAAGACCAGTGTTTGTACCAACAGCTACAATGTCTGGTGAAGCTGCTTGCCCCTACTCTAAGCAATTTGTTCATTCAAAAAGTTCACAATATAAGAAGATGAAACAAGAATGGCGAAACAACGTCTATCTTGCAAGGTGAAGTGGAAAGAATCTAGAATAAAATAGTCAATTGAATCACGAGATATTAAATGACACCTCACTTGCCCCGAATAGTTGATCGGAAGAGGTCTAACCAGATTACCATAGGTTCAAACCTAATTTCATGAATTCATCAATTCTCAGATACAAGTGTTTGTTAATCATTTAAATCCTAAAGATCAAAGTTATGAGAAGTATAATTTATAAAAAATAAAAAATAAATAAAAAAATAAAAAATAAATAAAAAAATTAAAAAATTAAGAAAAAAAAAGCACTTTAAATCAATGCTGAATAAATTATAGATTTTAACTTGTATGGTTTCTGCCATTAGATCAAAGATTCAAGGACTGGGGCTGTATGCAGCTCGAGATTTGGAACGACATACAATGGTTATCGAATACATTGGAGAAGTGATTAGAACTGAGCTATCGGAGTTGAGGGAAAAATTGTATGAATCAAAGGTAAGAATCAAATTGTATTACTGAATAAAAGTTGACCTCTTCTCTTTTCAAGTTCCTTCTCTGAAGAACAGTATAAAAATGTCTATTCTACTTTCAGAATCACTAGTTGCTTAGTGAATTTACTTATTTTCTGAAGAATGTATTACAAGAGAAAACTATTCACTCAAAGAATACTTGTTTTTTTTAATTCTTAATTGTGAACATGAAAGTAACAAACATTCAATACCATTCACTGCATTGAGGAAACTACAATGTTAATGATTTGGCTTCTGTGTGTTTGAAGTATTTGATGAAATATTGTTTATGACTTACACCCTTAAAATACTTTTCATCTTTTTATCCCATTCTTTTGAAATCATCATAAGATAACACCTACATGTATATAATTGTATGGTTTTCTCAATGTGTCTCGTACAGAATCGTGGAATTTACATGTTTCGCCTTGATGAAGAGCGAGTTGTTGATGCTACGCTCTCTGGTGGTTTGGCTCGGTATATCAACCATTCATGTAATCCCAACTGTGTAGCTGAGATAGTGGAGGTGGAACGAGACTTACGAATAATAATTTTTGCGAAGAGGCGAATTGCCCGTGGTGAGGAGGTATGTGACACTCTTTTACATCTTTACAGTGGCTTGATTGTGAATTAATTTATCTTCTTTACATTGATGCTAATTATTGATTTACAGCTTGCCTATGACTATAAATTTGATATTGAAGATGACCAACATAAAATTCCATGCAACTGTGGTGCACCAAACTGCAGGAAGTGGATGAATTAATTATGAAATCTTAGTGCAATACCACTAACTTTGATACACATTCCTATAAATTTACCCACCGCAGCTGAAAAACAATGTGCCATTTGAATATGACGCAGATGTTGTTTCAAGACCATTCACTTATACACCAGGCTTTATTTAAGTATTATGGTTTCCTTGTCTTAAAATATTTCTTTCTAGAGTGAGTTGTGATAAGACTTAATTCAGTTTTAGATGAATGTGATACTCAATTCTTCAAGGGAATTTTTCCTTTAATAGTCAGTTATTAGTTTAAAAATAGGCTTGAAAAATCTACGAGATGGAAAGGACTTGGTGTCTGCAACCAATCCATCTGTTAATAGATTACAAGCTGATACAGTACCTGTACCAGTTCATACTTTTCACATATTTATTTGTATATGTTCCATTTACTTGTGTTCTAGTTGAAAAGGCCAGATTTACAAAGTACTCATCATGGGAATGCCACATTAGAAAAAATATATTTTCTGTAAGTTGTGTAATTTTCATGTCCTGTTTGACTTCTATATCTTTGTAAACTTTTCTTTTATCTTGACATCTTTGTGTAAATATGAATATTCTTTTTTTTTTCTTTTCCTTCTTCTTCAAATGATATTAGTTTCTATGTCTTATTAACCATTTGCCTGAGGCTTTTCCCATGATGATTTTGTGGGTACCATTTTTTTAATGCACTTTAATAGTATATAAAACTTGTACATAATAATTCAGGTGTGAAGCAAGTTGCTGAATTGTAAATAATAGCACATCTTACGAGCATTGTTACTGTGGTGAATGATGTTCATATTGTATTAAATTTACAGGGGAATCCTGTTTAAATATATTGTGAATATTTGTTACTGTATGCAGTTGAATAGTGACATGAATTGTAAACATATTCATAGTAACAGTAATTTAGCATCTTCTGTATACATAGTTGTTGATTTGACATACGTTATAAATCATTGTTTGCATTTAAAAATTGTGTTGGGTGTGGATTTTAATGCTCACAAGAATAAATGAACATGTTTTTATTATGCACAATAGAACTTTACTGTAAAAACCTGTGTTTATTGGAATGTATGTGGCAGAAAATATTCTTTATTGTAAATTTTCGTACTTGGATGTTAATGTGGCATACTTGCAGTTATGAATTTTTAAAATTCTACTTTTGAGTATACAAAGAGCACGAGTATTTTAGTAATCGCAAGTCGATCATTTTGGTGTCACAGTTTCTGATGCCTTAATATAGCAAGTATTTGTTTTAATAATGTAATTCATTCTCACTTATGAAAAGAGACCAACTGAATATTAATAGAAATTCACTATTGCGTATTGAATATTTTTTGTATTGTGTAGTATAGATAACATTTGTATTGAACACTAGCTACTTGCCAAAGCTGATGGAACCAAGTTTGTTGAAGCTTGTTTTAAGTCCAAAATATAGTGTTACAAGAAATGTGTACTGATTGGTGCAATAGTTAATTGGTAAAGGGGTTTTTGGTGAAGTTCTTAATTTTTATATAAATGCAGAAAAACAACAACATAGTACAGCCTTAACTAATTGTATTGTAGGAAATTGATTGAATTAATCTTCTTTTCTCAGTTAAGTGTTGAATGCAAATACCATAACAGTATGAAATAATGTTCAATCCAATTGGTATATATTGTAATGTATGGAATTGCTAATATCAAATGGCAAAACAGAAAAATGAAAGAGCTTAATTCATTTTATATACAATTTCAAATACATGAAAAGTGCTATTAAATCTTGAAAAGATTTGCTGAAATGAAATTCAGAGTTATGCTACATTTGTATGAACATTGTTGTATAAAAGGATATTTCTTGCAAATTAGTAGTTACAAATTTTGTCAGTTGTTTTGTGTTTACTTATTTTTACATATTGTGTATATATATATGTATATTTGAGGGATATTATGATGTTGGAAAATTGATTTTCTGGGAAGAGAGAGAGGAGTAAAGACGCCTTTGGTGAATTTAATAATCTCCCAAACGTAAAGATCTACTCTTAAATTTGAATTGAAAAGACAGTCTACTATTTGGTAATAAAGTTTATATGTATTATGTGAAAAGTTCTATGGCTTGTTGAGAAATTTTTCAATTTTATTTCAGTATGTAATTAAGCTATTTTATGAATCTCGTATTTTGTCATGTTGAACAACCTCTCTTTCTTAATAGAAGCAGATAACTGAGCCACCTAGTGTTGTAGTTAATTGATGCAGTTTGTTTTACATTTCATTCAGAGAGCAATTTTTTTTTTTTATTTTGATTTCCATTATTTATTCGTGGTTGTGTAATTGTAATTACATTTATCAGAAAGGGATTCACTCTCTGTAAAGCAGTCTTCAGCAATGCCTGGTAACTGACAAGTTACTGGCCGAATAAAGTTTTTATAAACTTTGTACTACATATATATGTAAATATTGGAGCAATTTTTTATGTAATTTTTTTAATGTATGTATGCTCACAGTGGTTGATCATAAAAATCCATATAATTTTCAAGTATGTATTGTAACTCTTCTAGAAGAATGGGATATTTCACACTTAGGAAAGAATGAGTTTACTTGATACATTTATCTTGCCAGGAAGTGTCAGGTATTATTTTGATTCGTTTTGTTATATTTGAACAAAAGTAACTTATTTCAAAAGTTCTCAGTTTTATTCCAGTTGATTTTTGCAGTTCACATTATAAAAGAAGAAAGTGAAGGAAAACTTATCAGTAGAATATTCATGCACCTTCCATTTTTGCAAGGCTGCATGCCCATAGATTGTTATTTCACAGGCAGATGCTATCCTATTTAATTTAAAACATTATTTTAGTGTACTTACAGAATAAATGTGTGCCTCAATAGCACAAAGCTTGGAATGTGAACCAAACCTGCCAAGCTGAGGTGTTACGATCATTTTCTATCATCATTTTATGCAGTGAAAGGCATGCATGTTTTCCTATTATTCTATTCATAATTTAAATGCGATAAAAGTTTACAAGTTCAAAAAAAAAAAAAAAAAAAAAAAAAAAAAAAAAAAAAAAAAAAAAAAAAAAAAAAAGTGAGGCAACTGAATACAATTATGTGTGCCTTTTAAAAATGTGACACGCTTCTTCATTTTCAAACCAGGAAATGGAATATTTTGGATTCATAATGGACTGATTTTGATCCTTATAATTCAATACTGCACTCCTTATTTTTTATTTTTTAAGTTCTTCCTTTAAATTAGTTTTGCTACAAAAGAGATGTTCTCATAGCGTGAATTTAGGAAGTATTACAACTTCCAAGTGATAATTTTTTAACTTTAAGAAAATTGAGGAATCTACTTTAGCCGTAGAGATATTTATACTTCAATTTTAAATAGGGTGACATGACATCAACGAGTTGCGGTTACTCAAAATCGCCAACTTAGTTACGGCTAAACGCACGGACGTGCTTTTGCATAGCCTTAGCCATGACCTACTTCAGTGGTCTACTCAGAGTACGCCATGCTATAGCCCGCTATACTGCGAATAATACTTGTCAACTGGGAGTGGGGAAGAGCGATGTTGCCACTTATTCGGTCGGCAGACACGCGGTCATTCTTGCGTCAGATCAGCTGTTGAAAACACGTCCAACGTATTGTATTTGTATTATCACACCTTTTCTTTAGCTAAGATGCAAGGAGTGAGGTGGTTATTTCGTCAACAGAACTATAATATGAAATCTGTAGCATGTTTTACGATGCAAAATTCATTATTCTATTACATGGGAGCAAACATTTCTGGTTATATTTTGTCAACAACACTCGATGGTGTAATTTATTCCTAATTTCAACTAATATTAGTGAAGGAATGGGGGTAGCTGTTCCGGGGTCCAAGAAAACTTGCACGTACAATAGAATTGTAGTAATGGCACTAATATATTTTATGAAGTACTGTTGCACAAATCTATCGCAGTCCCTTAGACTAAACCCACCAATAACAAGGAATAACGAATTGTTTTTGCATAACGCGGGCAAAACAGATGAAAGTACAGCGAGACGCGTTTTTAGAAGTAGGATTCATAGTATTATGAAAGATTTATAAGAGATAAGTATCTAAACTAGATTCATTCTTGGTTTTAGTATTTTTGAAAGTTACTGACTCCACATGTAATTTTCGTACGTTTTCAAAGACGGGTCCTACCTAACGTCCCTAAGATGCTACCGAGTGCATTAGCGTGTGTGTGTGTATGTATATATATATATATATATATATATATATATATATATATATATATATATATATATATATATAAGAGAGAGATAAAAGAATCGTTAATTGCCAGTCTGATATATACATTTGTAATCATACTGGCAATGAACGATTACTTTTTAATCCAACCGATTGCGCCCGCCGCCATGTTTTGAGTTGATGCATTTGCGTGCGAAACTTGGGCTATTGCGCCTGCTATTCCGTCTGACCTTTCACCAACCAGAAAAGAGGTATCACTCGGGCGACGAAACATGCGATTGGAATTTAGCTCAGAGGTTTTTTACATGCAGTAAATCTACATAGGACAGCCGACTTTACTTCCCCTCTGAAGGAAGGCGTACGGTGTTTTTTTTTTCCGCACTTAAAAATGCACGGCTTTGATCGGGTTTGTACCCACGAACTTGGGTACGCTAACCGTTTCACCATCGCTGCAGCTTTTTTCACTGCTGTTTACTCATGAGTGTACAATGCTATACGTCAGATGAGCTCTTAGAAAACAAATTTATTACTTTCAGCTGGTAAGAAAAACTGCAATATTAAACAAGAAATATTTTTAGGGGAATAAAACAACATCAGTGTTTCAAACGCTCTTATTGCTTTCAATGTCAAAGACAGCACTAGACTCTAGTCTGTATTGACATTTACGAGGAAGATAAGCTACATTAAAATATCCAGAAGGTAAGGGACCATCTCAGCATTTGCTCTCGGATCAAAGGAAACTGGATAAAAACCCTGATCGAGATGGAGCTTTAAAAGTTTTCCATTTACTGGACGAAATTCAGTAAATCAAAAATCTTGTCCATGTAATCAAAAACTTTAGTTTCTTCTGAATGTTGAAAATCCTTCAACTTCATTATTTTATCATAGTCTATGGAGTCTGCAATTGATCTGCTCAGCTAATCGAACACTCATTTTAGGTATAAACCAAAATACATGGTTCGATGCAATCTAAATCCAAACCCTCGGAACTTCATTTTCACTTTTTTTTTAAAGATGATTCGCTGGAAAAATGCTCGGACAGTTTCTCTTGGTCTTCTGTTCTGGCTGGTTGAGTCAATATCTTCTGGACGAAAATGTTGGGAGCAAACACGAGATGCAGATTGTGGTTGCCAGTTTTCCCTCCTAATGGCATTAACACGTGCTTTTCTGTAATATTGTCGCATTGGAAATCTAATAAAAAATCAGGACAGACAAAAAAGGCATTTGAGGTTAGGTTGTCTTCACAAATCACTCCTCAGGTACATTATTATTATTACTTATTATTTTATTGCCCACTTTTAATTAGTTGTTTAATCATACAATCTTAATATCTGAAATCGTCCATAGTTGGTAAACCTCTGAACCGCACACGCATAACCAAACAAGGAATAGCGGTAGCCACTCTTCAATTTTCAGTTGCTTCGCGAGTTTTCATTTCCTTTTAAGTACGTCAGTCCGTACGTCAGTAACGTTGTGACATCATAATTTGAAGCTTCGGATTGTATAGCTGAACCCCCTCTCCTCTGTCAACCGGGAGCTGCCAAGTAGACAAGTATTATTCGCAGTATAGTATGCTTAACAGCCGAGGCACTTCGCCGATGTCACGGCCAACCTTTACTGAGTAGAGGATGGCCATGCCGATCCGTATGGGAGCAGGCGAACGGACGAATTTACACATTGTGGTCGCTAACCACTTCGGGCAATTTTGGTCATTTACAGTGATTTAGATTTAATCAGTAAAAAACAAACAGTAAAACTGTATGTGACGTAGGGGGAAAAGATTATCTGCGCACGTTTTCTTGAGTTCCAGAATCCCTTCCGCTTCCCGTTATTTTAACTATAAATAGTTGAAAGATGAGTAAAAGTTTAACATAAATAAAATAAAATTTAAAAATCGCGCAAGGTCAGCAAGATTTGAAAAATAGTCATTTTCGTTTCTGAGTTATAGAAAACTTATTTGCATCAGTACACGAATTGCAAGTGTGACGTCATGGATACTCACAGCGCCACAGACACAGAGCTTTCGTATAACAATATATTTATTAACAAGAAAACAAAACAAATATATACACTTATAATCTACTTACACCCTAGCTCTGATAGACCTACTATCCCTGATCGCGGGAGCGATCCAAAACCCGATTGAAGATGGTTTTGATTGTGGCATTCGCCACTCCTACTTTTTGAAGCGCGCACAAAGCCTAGCTTCCGTGACCGGATGTCACGCTGGGACACAAAGTCCGTTCTGGCGCACAACGGCTGGTTTGCTTCGATCGGCAGAAGCGATCTTATCCGATGAGAATCGGCGTGAATCGTGGCACTCAACCACTCTTCACCTCGGAGCACGCACACAGCATCGCTCCCCCGTGACCGCAGTCACCCAGGACATAAAGGTCCGCAGGCTTCGTCAACTAATGACTCCAGCCTCGCGAGCCTGGCTCGCATATGCACCGTCTTGGCGCCAAGTTTTGTGCACACGCACAGGTTTCCCACCGTCTCCAGAACCTGCCTACTGGCTCCGTACACTCTGTTATATAGGCGAGGCCCACGTGACCTCCTACGTCACGCCACCCCCTCGCTTGTTATAACAGTGAAAAGCTCTATAAGCCGGAAAGACACCCAAAGCCTTGTGTCTCCCGCTCTCCGCGTGGTTCTTCCTTTACGGAAAACCCTTCTTCCTGTGGCGAGACTAATCCGCAACCAAGCGTCCCCAAATAGATGCCATGAGGCACGCTGGCTAATACGTTACATACATCTCCATATCCCATTTAGAATTTTTATGCAGGAGACATCCACAATAAAAAATTCGTCACGCAATTAAAACTCGTGAACTTGGCAGAATCATGAACTTAACCTGTCCTATGTTTTACATTCTATCCAAACTCCCTAGTCTACATATTATTACATATATACACAATTTACATATACAAAAACTAAATTCCCTAAACTCTAATTTTACCTACTTACATTATTTCAACATTTTAAAATCTGCCATACTATTTCATTTATATACAAAATTTATCTACACAATCAATTATTATTACACTTCGTCAATGCATTCACAACAACTATTTTACAACACACCCTAACTTTCTATGCTATCAGAGCTTCACTAGACCCCCAATATTGTACATAACACCAAAATTACACAACATTCACAAAACAATACACTTTGTCAAAACAACTTGTTACATTATACAATAATTTTCCTTTAGATTCGATACAATACAATCAAGTGATCCAACTCAGTGTAGCCTCCGCATTCTCAGTTCAGTTCAGGTTCCAGTGTATCAATAAAAATATCCTGCTTAAGGCATCTTGCGTTAACATGGTCCTTCCCTTTCTTGTGAATAATTTCAAGATTGTAGGCCTGAAATTAAAAGTGACCATCGCATTAATCTAGGATTTTTACTTGAGCAATTGTTCACCCATACCAATGGATTGTGGTCAGTTTCCACTTGATTTTGGCGTTTCCGTCTAAGTAATATTTTAACTTCTGCAATGCCCAGATAATTGCCGTACACTCTAACTCGATCGTGCATCGCAATAACTCAGTATCCGTGAATTTTCGACTTAAGTATAACACCGGTTTTTCTTCTCCCCTGTCGTTATACTGTGCCAAATAATGCCGATCCCTCTAATTTGACGCATCACACTGCACGATAAAGTCCTTATTAAAATTGGGCGCGTGAAGGACGGGTTCGTGACATAGAGCGTTTCTAAATTTCTCAAATGCCACCTCGCATTCTGGCGACCACTTCACCTTGCCCTGCCGTTCGCGACCT